CGATGAAAATCTAAACTTTCAAGTTCACCGCGCAATCCTTTGAATTTTTCAACGAAGTTTGGATACAACACACATTTCATCAAGTTATTAATACTCACCAAAAATCACGGCAAAATTCCCAGAATATGATTTTTAATGATTTTTCAAAGTTTCTGCCCAAATATTAAATTCAATACTTGACATAGCTATAGACATCATTTTGGCATGAAATTTTTACAGCACATAATATACCAAAAGAAGACTCTACAGTTCAAATTTCATGGCAATCGGACGAGTATTCAATTTTTAATGATTTTTATAAGAATCAGCAGCAATACCCGATTCAAAAACACATCAAAGACCACATAATCATCTAAAACGTCCAAGGCCTGAACCATGAGGCCAAGGACTTCAAATTTTCCAACAATCCACAGCCCTAATCACGATTTAAGCAAAAATCACATTCGAACACAATCAACGAATAGATCACGAGATTAAGTAGCCATTTAACAAACCCTAGCATGAAATTTCCCAACAAGGCTCATCACATAGCACATATATACTGAAAATAATAAAGGATTATCAGCCTTGTACCATTCTCGGGGAAATTGCACGGAAGAAGGTTCGAACGGGGCTGAGGGTGGTCGCGGGCACGCGGGGGAAGGGCCTGCGGGCGTCGGTTGGGTGCTGGCGGGCTTCGCGGGCGCTGCTGACAACTCGCACGCGTCTGCTGGCTGCTAGGAGGCTCGCGTGCGTGACGAGGGTCGCCTGCTTGGTCGCGGAGCGCTGGATGGCGACGGGAGGCGTACGAATAGATCACGGTTGAGGCAAGCGACGGCAGCGGGGCTTGAGGGCGATCGACGCGTGAGGCCCGGTGGCCTGGGCGACGGCGGCGATCGGAGAAAAGAAAATGAAGAGAACGAGAGAGAGAGAAGGAGGGTTTGGCATGAGAGAGGGGTGAGAGAAGAAGAGAGGGATGGATCCATATATATATATGGCTAGGGCTTGGGGAAGAAGACTTACCATGTAAGCCAACTTGCCAAAAACCACACCAAGGATAAAGGGAAGGTCTCCTTAATCAAGCAACTTACCAAAATCCTAAGGAAAGAAGAGG